GCACAGCAGCAGATCGCCTAAGCGACCCACCGTGAGATGGGCGGAGGGGACGACGGGGACGTATACCTGTTCCCATTACAGGGCCCGTGACGTGGCACCTGCGAATGTGTTATGCAGATGAGCTAGCTGGCTCAAGACTGTGCCTGTCGGGTGGCCATTGTAGCAGTTAATTATCTGTTTTGCGTGTGACGGTTCAATGCAAAATTATGTACACGATGATCGTGTGTGTGCGTCGCACGCTTTTACGAGTTGAACTTGCTTACATCACAAACAGGTTACGGTAACCGATCTGTACCGTTTTCTCTATCGAGCACGCGAATGTACATTAACCTCTAACCGTTAACGTTCCTTTTGTATACTCGGCCGATCGATCGTATCGATTGTGCGCTGCCTCGATCTGCGTCTTCTGCTCCCGCCACCAGGGCAATATTTGAGTGCTACATTCTCCTTTTCCCACGATCGTTGAAGCGCGCCCGCCTTTCGTTGAAGATAAAAACTTCCGACTCCGGTGTCACTTTCAAGATCAGCGAAAGGAGGCTCCTCCGATACCGGTTTCGACACACGGCGTGACCCGCTTCGCCCATGCGCTCTTCCTTTCCGCGTTCTCGCTCTTCCCACCTTGTTCCTTCTTCCTCCGTATTACGCCACAACCACCGGAAACCACCGGAAGCCCCGCGCTCATCCCTCTCTCTCTCTTTACCTCACTCTATCTCGCCCTTATGCCATTACACCCTACCGCCAGCGTTTTACGGCCGTCGCTTCGCGTGCGTTGGTGAACGTCTTCCGAGACCGTTTACGTAGGTCGGCAAACTCCCAGATGAGTCGATTTACTCGGATTGAAATCGAACCGGGAGCCTGCGTCCGCCACGATAGAACAGTGGCTACGGTGTCCGGCTGCTGACCCAAAGGTCTCGGGGTCAATCCCTGCCGCGGAGATCACATTTTGGAGGCGGAATGGTAGAGGCCCGTAAGCACACATTAAATAAGACCAGATGGTCAAAATTTCCAAGGCCCTCCATTGTGGTGTCTCTCATCATATGAAGCTTTTGGGACGTTTAAAGACCCAGATATTATTATTAGCCCGATATTGAGTTACACCGCATTTATTAAAAGTAAGACTATTAAATCTCGAGGTAAATCAGCATTGCACGTTAGGTATGGCGCTTGAGATTTCATGTTTTTGCATGGTTTGTGGCAGGCTGTGGTTCGACTCTACCCTGTCTACGCCAGGAAGGCCACGTTTAGCGCGTAAAGTCAACCCCCTTCGCTGTTTCTTAACTTTTACACGGCTAGTCTAAGCTTATTTATTTATTTATTTATTTATTTATTTATTTATTTATTTATTTATTTATTCACTATACACGGGCCTCACAGTTTGCACGGGGGAACATTGAGTCAGGGGAGTAAATTTTTTTGTATTTTACAGAGGGCGATCATAGCAATAGAAGAGTGAAAAAAAAAAGAAAGAAATATCTTGCTTGTCTATCGCGCGATCTTTTCGTTGCACAAATTGAAACAAACAAAACGGATTGGCGAGAATTCGAGTGAGCTCGGTTGGGGAAAATTTTGGCATGTATGCGTCCCAGTGAGCCCCGAGGGCAAACTATATTTGACGAGAGAGCCTGAGTGAGCACCACAGTTTTTTTACCGACCTATGCCTATTATACACCAAGCGACAGCTTAACACAGTGTAAAGGCAGACATATAAAGTATAAAGGCAGACATACAAAACATATACATGTTGTTATGGCGCCTCAGGTATGCGCAATATTTGCTTTTTTAATTGACAATCGTGCAACTATGAACGCAAAAGCTTGAGCAATATTGGTGGGCGCTGCGGATGGGGTTGGCCGTTTGGTGCCGTTTGAGGTATCGTTAGGGCAGACGGACAGACAGACAGACAGACAAACAGACAGGCAGGCAGACAGACAGACAGACAGACAGACAGACAGACAGACAGACAGACAGACAGACAGACAGACAGACAGACAGACAGACAGACAGACAGACAGACCAAACTTTTTCCGTCGAAGGTCCCCAAGAAAGACAGTCGTCTTTAAAAGAGAAAAAAGGATAAGGCAGAGAAGCTGACCAGAAACATGTCCTGTTGGCTACCCGACGTGGAGGAATCGAAAAGGGGAATAGGAAGATGAGAGAGAGAGAAACAGGACGAAGCGAAGGAGCAGTAAATGTATTAACGCGTACGCGCCAGATGCACTGCCCAATAGTCAAAGGCGTTCAAACAGGCCCGTACGCCCCAAACAGCACGTAAAGCTTAAAACTGCCTCGTGAGCTGACAAGTCATGAGGACGGTGCTCCAGCAGCATCTGTACGAAGAGCGAGCGGCCGATCGTGTAATCGTCGCAGCGAGACAGGAAGTGTTCGTCTTTCAGAAACGAATCGAAGGCAGCGGCGCAGCAAATGGCTTCTTGGGTGCCGCAGACCTCTCATGCCACACTGTCGCTCTCTCCAAGGTCTTACTTGAAGCTACAGCTTACGTAGTTAGCACCTCTTGGTTTTAAGAAAAAAAGCTAAACATATTGTGCGGAAATTATATTACTTTTCTGAGCGTTATAAAAGTGTACTCATGCGGCTGTACCCACCAGAAATGTAGACGACAGAACGGTCTCCTCCAGCACGGTACTATAAGTGATCACTTCGCAAAAAAGCAGTCCGCGCGTCGCTATTTCTGATTTAAAAGAATGAACGAAGAATCGTACTTTTCATGCTGCTTATTATATTAGTACAAAAAAAGATGAATAAGTATGTACCCTTTCACGCATCAATTTTATTCAAACTCACAGGTCACACTTAGGCCAAACAACAAAATCTTAATCTGCCAGTAGTACACGATGTCTACGGCCGTCGAACAATACCTTTTGTTGCTGCTAAATTTTGGAAAAGTATCTCTACCCTAATCAAACGTCCGCCAAATATGATTCAGTCACTCAGGAAACTCTTTCTATGGGAGAGTTACCGGTTGCCCTGCTAATATTGTGGAAATATATGTACATGTCACATTATTTCTGTTTTTCTCCCTATATGTCTGCATATGATTTTCCAATCTGTGATTGAATTCTCTGGGTAAGAATTTTACTCGCTAATTGAACAAAATGCCTTGTCTATAACGGATTCTTAACTAGCCATGTCGGCTACGGATCCGGATGTTTTCGCAGAAATGTTTGTAAGCAATTTCATTGAAAAATAAAGGATTCTTCTTCCTCTTCTAAAAATTTTTCTTCTTCTAAGAAAGTTGAATGCTACAACTAAATCGTGTGATCCTACTCATTTAGATGAAAAAAAAAGAATACTTCCCCAAATTAAAACTTTGCATACTTCGAAACCAGTAACTGCCTGGCCTGTCAAGTATATAGGCAAGAGTATTTAAATAACGCCCAGGCGTCGGACTACGCAGCCCGTAAAGCAATCCCAAATCTATAACGGCGACTTATCCCGTTCTTTTGCTATAGCTGTGACACCAACCTGAAGAGATTGAAACACTACACACACTACGTTTTTTTTTTCCACGGCGTCTAAGCCTTCCTACGTGTTTGCGGGCATCAGATAATGGGGTCACGTTCTTGTTAAGTTGTGACGAGCGGAAAAGCCTCTTTGATCGAGCGGTTAGCTTCTGTTGGCCTGCATTGGCGCTTGCGAAGAATATCACGGTGATCGAAAGTCACTGTTCTTCTTCCGGTAGTTTCTTTGTGTTACAGGACCACATGCTGTGCACACGTGATGGTCCACAGTGATCTTCCAGGACAGGTCTCTCTCTCTCTTTCTCTCTCTCTCTCTCTCTCTCTCTCTCTCTTATTTTCTCTCGCTATCTGTTTGCACTTTCGTTAACCAGTTTATTTTCACGAGCACCAACAGTTGACTACAAGAACTGCGCTGAATTTACGAGGTCGACCACGCTGAAAGAGAACATTTCATTAGTATTCAAGCCAGTAAAGCACCCAGCCCTTTCCGTTTTCCCAACTTTGTCGTCTTTCTTTCTTTTTTGTTAATTAGTTGTGTCTCAAGTCTATTCGTACGAACTAGCCAGGCTGACTCGCATCTCTAAACACGGTAAAACTAGAACTGTTATTCCGCTTGACGAGAGAAATTTCCAGTATATGACGACTAATCGTGGTGCAGATAAACACGATAGTAAGTTAGTAAATTTCGTACTAAACATCAGCTTCCATGAGATTTTTACTAATGAAGTGTTCACTTTAACTGTGGACGGCCCTCTATTTGGTGTTGCTGAACTGGATGGGGGTTAAACACTAAAGTGTCCGTCAGTTACCTGAAAAGCTCTGCCATGAACAGCTGTGATTTCGTGTCGTGTTATGAAGAAGCACATTGACCGGAAATGAGCCCGATTGAACTTGTTCGTGTAGCGAAGTGGAAAGTGTGCAATTGCCTTTTTCAATGACCATTCTTCAAAAAATTTATCGCGTTGCCAACACGACTAGCGATAGAACCAACAAGCAAACCTCTATTCATTCATTTTACGACGTGATCATTCCTGTGAAGTAGAGCTTCGCATCCCACAAGCCACAATCTCGCATCGTTAGAACAACGTGTGATAAACGCCAATTGCAGCAGGTGACGCATCTGTTTACAGATTTTACGGCTTCATCTAGCGTAATATTTTCGCATTCACTTGCATGTATACATTGCGTTTGGTGGGCGCAACTTAACAATTGCTTTACTGATAAATACGGTGTTGATCTTCATCTATATGTTTTTGCCATGTTTTGTCTGATGCATAACTTGGCTCGCGATGAACTTATATACGTATATCTGCTACAATTTACCACTCGTAGCAGCACCACCTCATTCACGGTCCGCATTTCGTATAGCTGCAATAGACGGCCTCGGGGTAACCCTAAAATAAATAATTAAGGCACATTATTCTCCATAGTTAATGTCGCTTTCGTCAATTAATTATGACCCATTACGTCACTATATTCGGTCACAATGGCACCGCGTCGCGCAGTTTGCTGTTCCCTTACCTGTTCCATCACCATACTTCGCACTTTTTGCGTGTGTTCATGGCGCTGTTCTTCCTGCACTTGAACTCCCTGGAGAACTCTTCGGAGTTGGACACCGGCCCCGTGACCCTGGTGGAAGGAAAACGTGCTGTAGCAGTGAGCAACGACAGCACACCCTTTCATTCATTTTTTTTTTCGCACAACTTTCCAGTGACCTATTTTTCTTTCTTTTTTTTTACTATAGTGCCACTCGTGAGCGCTTCGGTGGTGAAATCAACGTCGTGTAACATGGATGCTACCCTACATTTCGTAACACTCGCTTCTATGCTGGCGTAACTTACCACCTAAAAAAAAAAATAGGTCAACGTTTTGCGTACATTACCCGTCCAATCACAATTCTTCAGTCAACGAATCACACTTGAAAAAAAAAGTGGAGTAAAAGCAATGAACTTATGTACATATTGCTTTCTTTTCATATTGATGTCCAGTAGCTATGCAATATGTCATTATTATCAATGAACGACAAATCAGGTTTGTGAAATCCCGCAAGGGGTGGGAGATGGGGGGGGGGGGGGGAAGGGGCAATTGTTTTTGAAGGGAAAAAATTCCAACTCTATATTAGTAAGGCTATTAAAGGGAAAATCTCGTAGCAGTAAGCTGCAAGAGCATTCATAGGTATTCTCAGAAAGGCTTTCAGTAGGTATCAGCGGGAAGAGAAAAAGAAAGAAAAAAAATAACAAACGCCTAATGGGAGAAAAAAAAAAAACGTTAAGCTATCATGTGAGCCCGTCAATAGGACGGCGCAATACGGATAAAGGAAAGGCAGGGAGGTTAACATGGACTGAGCCAGTTAAGCTATCCTGCACTGGTGAAGTGGGAGAATAGTCGGAGAGGAGGACAGAAAATTCGTGGTTACGCCCGACGTATAACAGTTCTGCCTAAGCGTTGAATCGCGCTAGTAAGACGGGCACCAAAGGAAGAGACGATACAAACGGAGGCTTTGCGGTGTATAAAAACAGTGTGCTCAAGGAAACGAACATTAGTGGTAGTTGACACTCTGTGTGTCGTCGTCTCTTCTTTTAGTTCCTGTGCTATTTGCACAGTTGAACATTTAAAATCATGAACCACTGTGACTAACTGTCAGCCATGCATTGCAACAGTTATGCGTTTGATATCACATGACGGTGAATCGGTCAGGTATATCTAAGATTCATGGTAATAAGGGCTGCAGAGCGAGCACGAAGGTGCTAGAAGAAACGTGAAACGAAAGGCGAGGCAAGGAAAGCAAAGAGGACAACACGAGCACCTTCGTGCTCGCGCTGCAGCCCTTATTACCATGAATTCTGACCAACTAGCCCAAATAGCCGTTCTTCTTCTATATCTAAGACATCGCAGCCATGCTTTCGCTGTCTTTTAGGAGCTGTGACAATCAGCCCAGGTGGTCCCAAATGCTTCCTCGACAGTGAAAGCGTATCCGTCCCTAGAGCAGTACGGAGGCTAAGCCTCTCGTTTGCGCGCAAGTCAAGGGGGTTACGCAAGCGGTGCTGAGCCATCGTTTATTCACCTGAACCTCGCCGGCGAGTGGGGGTCACTGAGGATCTGCAAGTGGATGGCCTCCGGCGTTTCGGTGGAGCACCAGACTTGGGCGAATCCCACGTAGAACAGCTGCTTGTGCGTCAGGTTCACGCCCGGCAGAGGGAGGCTCGTCGGGGTGCCGGTCCAGCCATTCTTCGAACGCCTGCATTCCGAGGAAAATGGAAGCGCATCAGTATATGGGAGCGGCAGAGTCGCCGTTTGAAGACGCGTTGTGCCTCAGCTCGATGCAGTTGAACCTTGCCTTAACGAACGCCGGTGTAGCGGATTATCGGTAACAGTGATTATCGGTTGCAGCCCTTTGGTTAGTCACGCTTCGTTTCAATATTTACTATCTTGATTACGGAACTTAAGACGAACGCGCCGCCGCGATATGGGATGTTGAATATTGGTGACATTTTTTCTTGTGGGTCGCGCATGCAGACTTGCGGTTGAAAACTGAAGATTTTACCGCAGCCGATATCGAACTACTCGTCAAGCTGAGAACTGTGACGAGGTGCGCTAACTGCAGTAGTGAGTTGTGTGTGAAACGCAGTTGGCCATATCGCGGTCATTTTTGGAACTACTCGGGTGCGTGGCTTTCTGATGCATGTAGAATCCTGACTGATGATCACCCTTAAGCCGGCGACTGTTTACCAATAACTGCACTAAAGCAGCATTTAGGTATAGAAGGACACACCAGCCGAAGCTCAAAATACAAGAGACGCTTTGGCCGTACTCAACCCAACAAACAAAAACAAAAAAGTATCTCGATCGAACTGAAACGAACACGAAACTTTCCTTAACTCGTTTTAAAAGTCACTATTGCTTCGACCGCACAATATAATGATTATAACATTCAAAATCGCTCTCACTGTTTCCATGCAAATCAAAGCCAAGCGACTCCTTTTATCAAAAGTAACTCACGTGGAAAGCCGCTTTGAGGCCTCCGTTGTCTGCGATGTTTTCGCCCAGTGTTTGCTTTCCGTTGAGCTAAAAAGAAGCAGAGCGCTCTTATCACACAGAGTACATCGTTAGCCCAATATCTCACGACCGCACTGAACCGCACGAGGCGAAACGTTACGGCTGAATTGCAATGCATTTGCATGAGTGGGCATTCTTCGTGACGACAATTGCAGTGCAGCCACATAAAACGAATGCAAGGAACAGCAACAATTGCAGACTTCGCGTGAACTTACGTTTTCGTTGTTGGCAGTGTAGTTTGAATACTGATCGATAAAGCACTGAGCCCTCGCCTGGAAGCTCTGAATGGTCGAGTTCTTCCACCACTGGTTAAGGTTGCCAGACTTGTCGTATTCTCGTCCTGTGTCGATTGGAAGAAAGGTCTTCAGAACACGCATGATCGGTGGCTCGTTCACAATTTACATTCAACAATGGAACAACTCGATTAGTTTTAAGCAGCATCAAAGCAGCATAAAAATGTGCTTGAGCGATTCGCAAAGGCAGGCGACGAAATGATTCGTTCGAAATAGAATATGTTTTCAGTGACTTATATAATGTTTATTTCTTTCCATAAGCACGCAATGAACGTGTTATTGATAGTATTGATACTCTTTCTCAGCCGAACAGGACATTCGTATCAAAACGGCTGCGACAGCATTCCTAAATTCTAGCAACAATTTACTTATGGTTAGCAAGCCCATACATGATGGGCAAATCTGTGCATCATGAGATAAACGCAACGGCTCGAGCCCGTTTCCCGATAGTATAGGTAATCCTATCTATATTGCGCAGGTAATAAAGTAAGTTAAATGCAAAGTTTCATTTGGCCTCCTACTTGCGCATGAATAGTGTGGCAAAGTAATGAAGAAAAAAAACAACGTCGTTATGTGATTTTCATTACTCTGCGTTTAAAAGCGAAAAAATGAGTAAGAGTCGCTCGAATCATTCATTACCCTTCTTATTAATTATGTCAACGAGATATACCTGACGTTATATGCAGTACATTCGACACCGATATCTTGAAAAACTATTCGGTAAGAGATAAGACCCCCGTTGCTGGTCTTTCGTATCCCATGTATTTTTCTGAGCTGGTTTGCTCATTGCGTGTTATGCTTCGTTGTTGGATGGGGGGACTAGAGAGCAGAGGTAGAAATGTTAAAATCGGAAAGTACAGATGCGCCATGCATTGCGAAACTTGTTATAGGTTAAAATATGACTCGCAGATTGTCGTGACACGATAGTGCGACGGTTCTAACGAGCACATAAATAATAATGGGAATCACCGATTTACAGCATGCGGTAAAGTACACGCACCCGCTTTGTAAATGCAGTTTGGCATTCATGAATTTCATTGAGCGGGTTATACTATAAATGCTTGACCACAGGTACTCGACATTTTATTTCAGTCTAGTTATGTCGCAGTTTTTGAAGCTCAGTTTTATTAAAATGCAGGCGTACGAGATCATCGCCTTACCTTGGTCATCGAAGGCGTGGGTGAGCTCGTGTCCCATGACCACTCCCATGGCGCCGAAGTTGAGAGATCTGGAGTCGCAGAAGAAAACCAGCGTGAGGAACATATACCGTAACCATCATTATTCAAGTCCAAAAATGGCAACAGTCAGCTAAACATCGACCTCTAATTAAGATCATATTTGTCATGTTTGCTCATCGTCTTTAAGCAAACTTTGTAGAGCGCTTCGCAACGACATCAATTTCGTCATGAGTGAATACAGCTGTGTGTGCAAGTTCAGTGCTTTTGCGGTCAATACAAACGCAACGCAACTTGTTCCCAGATAAGACCTTTCATGTTTATGATGATGAATTAATCAACGGTGTTCTTCCAACCTAGGCTACAAAAAGTTCTATACGTTATAATTAGCGTATGCTATGGGTATCACTACCTCTTCTTCAATTTGGAGAGCGTGTGCTTGCTTACTTTGGATAGTTAGGATCGTAGAACGGTGCCTGCAGGATGCCAGCCGGAAAAACTGCAAAAGAGAAGTGAGTGAACATTGTAAGAACACATCAATAGCAGCCGAAAGGATAACCACTTTAGGTTAACTAGTATAAACTATTTTAGGCAGTCGTTTCAAAAAGAAGTACTACTAAAGCTAAAGAAGTGATCAATATTTTACCATTTATCTTATATATTTCACGCGCCCTGCAGTACTAATTAAAGTTTTCAGGTCTTCTATTACCGTGTACCTTCGAAAAACAAGGTAAAAAGTGTTTAATATACAAGATAGTATTCATTGTGCTATTCAAAGTACTTTCATATTGTAAGTAGGAAACACTGAATTTTCAATCAACATTTTGTAACTTGATCAATACTAGACATGGCGATTAGTGCACGATGCTGTCTAATGCTATAGCAATTAGGTTAGTTTCTTGTTTGACAGGCAAATCACCCGCAAATCACAATTGACAGCCAAATCACAAGAACAATATTAACGAAATGTAGGCAGCGCAAACACCAAGGTGATAGACATAAAAAAATTACTCGCAGATAATTTATCCATGATCTAGTCATGAGCATCAAAAAAAAATTCGTTTCCCTTTCTCTTGTCTATTCTAGATAGAAAGCAGGTATGTTTATTTAACGGCATCAAGTGACGAAACAAGTGTTTGTTCATTACGACACGCTTATTCTCTTGCTAATTTTAACGGTAAATAATTACCTAAGGCAAATGTACCTCAACTCTGAAAGGGTATGCTTGCAGTCGTTCATCAACGTAAACTTGCAAAGGGGTGCTCCACTTCTCCGCGGGCGCGATAATATCGTCACTGTTTTGCGGTCGTACCAGCTGCGGTAGCTCATTTCGCTACAGCTTTGGGCTACAAAACACAAAAAACTTGTGCTTTCGATCCCACCACAGTGGAGGTTGTATGTTTTATGTACAGAACACGTTAAAGAAATCTAGGTGATCATACTAACCCGAACCACTATCAGATCATTTGGGCGTGTTTCCACGAGTTCCGTTTCTTATCGTTGACTGCTCGCATGTTGACTGCTCTTCATGGCAAAATTACTTCGTTTCGCTTCGTGGCTCCACTGTTTTATTTCGGGTTTGTAGCACGCACAAACAGCCAGGACTATAAAAACAGGCACTTGTCTCTGTCTCTATCACGGTTCTTCTTTTTTTTTTTTGTACACGCGATGAACCTAAGGTCATGAATCACGTATTTCTAACGACCGCTCCACTGTTTCATCAGCTAGTTAAAATTACGAGATGTTCGAGAGAAATACATGGTTGCTGTGAAATTCATGTAGTTCACTTAGTCACAAAGAAAATGCGTCGTGAAAAGAACTCGAGGCGCTGGCGTGTTGTGACACCGACCGATTTGGTTCTTGGTCGGCGTGTAGTAAGCGTTCACGATGGTAGGCGTCATCTCCCATTCGGTCTTGTTGCTAGGCCGGTACAGTCGCTGCATGTTCTTCTTGAGCAGAAACTGGCTCACCCGGATGTTGTTTTCAAAGTATTCGTTCTCTACAAATTCCAGCTGCCGTGACGAGAGAAAGAAAAAAAAGAGAAAGAAAACAATCAACGTGTTGTAAAATCACTACGCTACCGTAAGAATCTGATTATTCATAACTGAAGGCACAGAGGCAGTACCTGACACCAGAACTATATTTCGCTCGCTTTTTCAGTCGTGTCGCACGTGGAGCAGTAAAATTCTGAAGAAAGTCATAAATTTTGAATCTCCACTCAACTTAATTAGAGGGTCGTCTTAAGCAAGACGACTGTCTGTTTCTCGTCACTGTTTGCTTATAATCCACCAATTGTTATGGGGACGTGTGTCAGGACTTGCGAAATCAAATACCTGGTTTCAAGTTTGTTGAAGAAAAAAAGGTAGAAAATACAAACCTAAATCGCAGCATACAGACTGAAACAATAGTTGAAAGAGAGAAAGAGAGCGAGAATCAAAGAAACTGTGACAGAATTTCTAGGTCATGACGCGAGAAGAAAAATTATGTGAAAAGCACACGTGCGCGAAACAGTGACCCGTTTCAACAGTTAGAGCAAAAATGAGAAAACGAGGAGCCATAAACTGGAAGCACCGTAAAAACAATGTAATCGAGATCTATATTGCGCCGTGGTCTAGACTATATCGTTTTGTTGGAGCCTGAATGCGAAGTAGTCCGCCAAGTTCCTTGCAATCGACGAGTTAGCACCTCCATAGAGTGCTTCATCTCGGGAACAAAGGTCGACTACAACCTTTAATTCTGAAATAATGCCGTAGTGCCGAAAACACAACGTAGATGACATATTAAATTGCGATGTCATCTTTCTCGCTGATATTTGATATGTTTCTGCTGCTATCATGAGCCAATAAAAAAAGCAAAAAAACAAGGTGTGTGGTAAAAATTCACAACCCTTCCACTACATTGAAGATGAAGCCAGCGGCAGCGGAATTCGTGGAGTTTTCGCGCTTCTTCGCGCTGCTGCTCGCGTTGGCACTCCTTCTACTCCCGCTCTTCTTTTTTCGGGCGAGTGACGCGCATTCGTTTCATAACGAGTTTATTTATTGGGAATTCGTTGATGTAACAATTCTCGCGCGATCTCTACGCCACGAGAAAAAATTCAGCAGATCCCACGTACCTGGGAAGAAGGAAGGAAGGAAGAAAGTTTAAGCGGAAAGACAGGGAGGTTAGCCAGTTCTTAGAACAGCTGGCTACCCTGTGCTGGGGAAAGGGGTGAGGGGAATGAAAGATGGTAAAAAGAAATGTTGCGAAGAGAGAGAAGAAATTACAAAAATACCTGGGAATCCACGTTGTGCGAAGCATGCGGAAGAAATGTGACCGTGTTGCAAGTCTTTTTATTGAGCGTGACGCCATGAAATGACGCTAAATTAATGTACAAATGTCGCACACACAGGCATATGTTGAAGAGGTGCAGATGTTTATATAACCAGTCGTTTGCACTTGCGCAACGATGCCAACTGGAACATGCATATTAGCAACACCAGAAGCTGACATGAAGCGCTGATGCTCACGAAGATGCTTGCCCTGGACACTGCTACATAAATCAACTTCAGCGCACGGCAGCTAACCACATCAGACGTTAACCCGACGTGACGGCTGTATCAAAATAGTACATATGTAATGTTTATAAAGTTGGGTAGGCAGCACTGAAACCACTATTGATTGATTGATTGATTGATTGATTGATCGATTGATTGATCGATATGTGGAATTTAACGTCCCTAAACGACCATATGATTATGAGAGACGCCGTAGTGGAGTGCTCCGGAAATTTGGACCACCTGGGGTTCTTTACCGTGCACCCAAATCTGAGCACACGGGCCTACAACATTTCCGCCTCCATCGGAAATGCAGCCGCAGCACTGAAACCACTATTACCGTTTCACGAAGATTGGCGTCAATTTAAATGTAGTTTCGAGACCAGGCGTAGCTCTGTGGTAAAATGCTTAATTGGTACCCAGAATGCTTTGGTTCGATTCCAGCTGGGACTCGTCGGGTCGACGCTACCGACGTCGGGTATTTCGTAACACTCGCGCGTTAAAATTGCCCATGTGTATTCTCGTCGTTCCCGAGGAGATACGAAGTGTCAATCACCTGTGACACACACCCGCATACCAGCGGCACATACCCGCGCCTGGGTATGTTCCACTGTCTGGCGGGAAATGTTTGACGACGTACGCGACAGGATTGCGACATTATTCAAGTCTTGACCAGCGTGTCGTATTCGTCAAACCATCTTACCCTCTCATGCTAATTTGGGTTCACGTCAAGTAAATAAGGTGACCACGAGAGCACTCAAACGTAAGCGGCTAGATATATAGATAGATACGCTCAAAGTCGCCGAAGTCGCCGAAATCGCTAAGAAATGCTTCGCATTTAAAATCGGGACTCAAACGATTGCTGGGAAACGCTGCCACCGTGTATCGTGACACTGATGAGTGAGGCGGTGGCGGTGGCGAGGTGGACGAGGATCGCCGGAGATTACTGTTCAACGCTTCGTCAGGTCCGCGGACGTGGCTTTCATGGCTGACGGTCGCCTATTCCAAGATGCCCTCTCTTCGACGACCGCTCGCCGATCGGGGCCCCGTCCATGGACTTCTCTAACCGGCTCCCAATCTTTTAAGTGTGAATACACTTTATAAGCGACCCCGAACCATCCACCGCCGTCGGCGGCGTCCGCAGTCTTCTCTCTATCTTCGCTCGCTCCTCCGCTCTCCTCGCTCGCTGCAGCTGCGCGCGCACCCCTCTCTCTCGCGCGCCCGCCTTCTCTCTCAGTCTCCCATCGAGAGCGGGTCGTGCGACGGATGTCCCGGAGGCAACGCTACCATCTGTATATAAGGCGCGTTACTGACACCGATATCAGCGTCGCCAACGGATTTTAACTTTACTCCCCCTCATAGCATCGCCCCGTGCATTCGCACTTAACCATGTTCACCCTCGGGGAAATGCTTGGGAGTTTTTACTTTTCTCTCTATCCGTTTTAATCCCTCCGTATCCCGTTCCCTCGTGACCTACTGCCGAGTTGTCGCGCTCCGAGGCAGGCAGTTGGGGCGCTCACTTTTCGATTTTCCTATTTGGGAATCACTACCACCCTACCCCTCCTGATCCGCTAGAACGTAACCCTCACAGCTTCACTGTCCGCGTTCGCTGCACGAAGACAACGTCCCCGTCGCGATCTTCGATAAGCCTAATTTCGTTTCCATCAGCACGCACGTCGATTGGCCCTCGCTCGTGAGAATATAATGTGCTAGAAGTAAATGCATTCGTTCCAAAGGCCCGTGCTTGTTTTCGACTTAGAGGGTCGCTGCAAAACGATCACATTGCGAGAAGTTTTCGCTGATGTGTTTTGCATTGCACGTCCAGTGAATTTGATTTATCGTACGGGAGACGCTTCTTTTACCTCGCATTGGCGGATAGGAATCAAGACCCCCTCTGTTACTTTTATCCGCATTCTAGCATGATAGTTGGGACCACAACTGAATTAGAAAGTAAACAAGTGGAATGGAAGAGATAAAGAAAAAACACGGTCAAGGCCAGCGACAAAGACTGGCGCTGTTTACACAGCAGCAGCTACAAAAAAAAATTTTTGATCTTTCGGCGGGGTTGGCTGATGGAAATAAACGACCTTTGCGAGGACTGCCCGCACTGTCGGATGTGTGCTGCCTGGTCATAGACGGAGCGCTGGAAGTTTTGCTTTTCCGATCGCGAGTCTCCGTCCCACCTTGCGGTATCGTTTTCCCGCAGATCCCGACAATGTCAGTGCACTTATAGTGTCGCCTTAACGCAACGCCGCCTCGCCTTTCATCTCTGTCGAACTCTTATTTTACTAGTATGGTTAGCGTTTTCCCGTGGTTCTGGCTTCGAATGTCATCACTACGGCGGCTACCACACACTGGTGCACGATCACAGGATGCCTTTTGACCGCCCCAGCTTTCCTTTATTGCACTTCGCGTTCTATAGTCTCTGTTTGCCGCTATTATGAATCGACTAGCCCGTCAGTATACGCTTGGAGCATTTGACTTACGCCTTTGTATTTTTCGTCCAGCTTTTTCGGATCGGTGATGAAATCGGGAAAACCAATCATATCAGTGATGGCGTCCGCCTGCAAGAAGGAAAATAACGTATAAAAGCCATGGACATAGTTGCTTTCCCAATATACCGAAATTCGTGCTTCGGAACTGCATGGGCTCTAAAAGTGCACACAGGCGCTTCTGGGAATGAGAAACAGTTTTTACGAATATATACGATGCACGGGCTTTGCAAGAGCTGCTCGCGCATCAAACAGAACCTTATCAATCTGTAGTTAGCTAATGATAGCAAACTTATCGTGTCGCATGACATTGTGCGAGCTAATTATTTGCATATCTGCGTGATACAGCGACCTAAGGTTAAGTTCAGGTTTATGAGACGCCTAAATTGAAAAGCAACACTTTAGTACAAATATACCGTTAAAAAAGCCATCTTGAACGAAATCGGTCTGTCTGAAAGTATTAATGATCTACATTGATAGTTACGCACGGTGTGTGCTCTTACTGTCCTTTATTACGTGTAGCGACATTTCCGCATGAGGTTTTGCGCCGGTTTTATTACAACAGAACACTCGCTAGATGTATGCAATCAGCACTCGAAGTAAAAATTCAGGCGCCATCTCCGTGGAGCTCAAGCCGCAAGAATGTTTATAATTTTACCATTCGGCTGCCCCGCTAATTGTTCGATTATCGTGCTAGCGACACTGACCTTCTCTTTAGCAAGCTCTCTGGTCTCTTTGTCCATCCATTTAAGCATGGGTAGGTTGTTCTTGAATGCATCCTTTACCTCTTTGATCATGTTCTGAGCCTGTGAAAACGAAGGGGTAGAAGACACCGGAGAAATGTTGTGAGTCCGCAGTACAAATAAACTAAATCACAGATGCTGCTAGAGTTCTTTTTTTTCTTTCTTAGCACTACTTGCAAGGCTGACACGTTGGATGAATGGTTAGTAAGCATCAAGGATTCTTGAAGCTTTCACCTGTGTTATACTGAACACTATACAAGCACGTGGAGCTTTTCAATGTTCCCTATTAGACAGCAACCGCGAGGCGTTCTTACAGAGCACAACAAAGCCTATTTCACACATATCGCGGTAACAGTGATAACGGACCTGGAACTTTGTAGAATTAACCAATTTGTTCCGGGAACAAGAGTCATCCACTGCACCAGCGGAATCTCGGCTACCTGGCATATTCTGAAATGACATTCAGAAGATACAGATTTTTCTCACACCACACTCGTCCTGCAGAGCACACACTTATTGTGTCCCCGATTGAGACGTGGTCGCAATTCCCTATCACGGTATTCACAACGCTAGTTAAGGCTGTTTCACATGCCACGATTGCAGCGAAAAAAAAAAAAATTTGTTCCGTTCGCTCCAATCGCTCTGTTCGCAGCCGCCGCTAATGGCGGTTTCGTTTCACATGGACCGCGATCTTCGCTCTGCGACAGGAGCGGCGAGAAACGTTTCTTGCCACCGTTCGTTGTGGCAGACACTGTAGAATTTTTCAAACATGATGTAACAGTCTGTGCGTTACGATATTATTAGGTTTCTATGAACGGTAACGAAGAGCACTTGTGCTTCGTCATTTAAGAACACTTTCAAATCTAAATCAATTTGAAGATGCACAGCACCTGCCATTACTGAAACAAACACGTCGACGCTATTTCGACGGTTTGGCCGGCCGGGGCCTGTTTCGACGGGTCCCGACCAAAAAATCACTCCCGCCCGGCTGCGAACAGAACGAAAACTTCCAACATGTCTGCGGCGGGAGCGAATTGGCCTTTTTTTTTTTTTTTTTTTTCGCTGCGGGCGAATTCGTCCATTAAATGTTGTAGGCCCGTGTACTGAGATTTGGGTGCACGTTAAAGAACCCCAGGTGGTCAAAATTTCCGGAGCCCTCCACTACGGCGTCTCTCATAATCAAATGGTGGTTTTGGGACGTTAAACCCCACAAATCAATCAATCGTCCATTGAAAATCGCTACTTTTTGTGTCATGTGAAACGGCCTTTTCAAGCACGCAGGTGCTATCTATAACCACTATGCTTATGCCGCCATAATCTAAGTAACCTAAACAGACAGTGCAACGATGTTAAACGTTGTGCATCTACTAAACTATTACAACAGCTATACTTTGGCTAGTAATCAGCACAAGCATGCGGAATTCGCATCAGGCTTTTCGGGTACAGACATATTTTCTACGCCACCTAGCGACAAGAGACGGGCCTTTGAATGTGCGTATCTCTCTCATTGACTGTGCGTAGAACTTGTTAGACAATACCAGTGCACATACAGACGATACAATCGCCTACGAAAAAGATATGGCCATCTTAAAAAGGGGTGCATCGCCTCACGTGTTCGGTAAATTAATTAGAGATGACCGCCATAGCGGGACATGCTGAGTACGCATGCTTCCTTTTTGAATGAAAATGTCACCAAATACAGGTATTCTGCCCTTACGCAGTCGCCACTTTTTTTGGGGGGAATTTCACTGAGCCGCCGTGATATAAAGAAAAAGGTAGCCGCCAACAGATAAGCATGACGTAATCTGACAGATGAACACAAGAAAATGTACTTCTGTTAGCTGATTTTACTCGATATCGTTCGATTATGAGCGGAACACTAATGGCAAAGATGAAAGCAGTTAAGTAACAGAAAATACGTATATTTTTATCCAGATTACATGGTTAGCGTTACTCCGTGAAATCGTCGATAAGTTGAAGAAAGCACCAGCCGCCGCTCCGTCCATTCTTTTTATCTCTTTTTTTTTCTTTTTTTTTTACATTAAACCGCAACCGCGTAAAAGACTCTTCTAGGAAACAACGTTCCGCTTGTGACCCTGTGTAGCAGTTCCGCGAACGGCACATTTGGCTGTTCGATTAAGCCGCAACTAAATTCACCCCCGGCTGCAACCCAGCAAAACGTACGTACGTTTACGTGTGCATAGTCAAGGTCAGTAACCTTGGAACTCTCCACTTTATAGCACGAAGTCCTCGCAACTTTCATAACATCAAGTGAAGGCCGATGCCTTCACTATACATCGCCGATCTTCCGGGTGTTAGTTGTGCTGCTGCTCTACACGTGAGACAACGGCAGGCAAGACGAGCTCTTTACGAAGACAGCTACACGAAACAGACGTTTCTGGCCTTAGATGCTACCGTCGTTTCGAAAGAAACTCCGGTAAGTGCATTGGCGTTCGAGGCAAGCGTCTCAGGTTTGCGCGCGACGCCTCTGAAAAGCGGTGTGTATACAGCCCAGCAAGTTGACCTTCGCGCTACGTCACGAACGGAACGTCCTCGTCGTTCGCAGCCCTCCACCCCCGCATGACTGACGTCTTACGGACCAGGAAGTGAATATCTCGCGCGATGTATACATCGCATGCTCGGGACGGGTACATTTCGCATGCTTCGGGCAGACGTGCAAGCGGAAGTAGCCCGTGCAATGAACACTGGTCGCGCACTAAGAAGCACGCGTCCGTGGAAGAGTGCACTCTAGCTGCAAAATGCGGTGCAAATATTTAGGCGGGAAGTGGCCGGGAGGAAACGGACGGGTTGGGCAGAAAAGAGAGAAGGCTATTTACCATTCTGGTCACCTCAGCAGGCTTTCAGAAGCAACAAATTTGGTGCACAGGATTGCGTAAGAAAGTATTCACATTGGTTCTTGGTGTTTCTTTCACTTTCTAGAGTACTCTAGTATATCCACCTGACGGGTCAAACAATGGTTTGTCTGAAGTGAGTAGAAGCAGTCACGAGTGAAGGTGGCCGTTTCCTTAGCATGTGTGAAAGATTGTGTGCTTATCTAACTGAATGAGAGCCATACAACTAAACTACATTTCATTTTAAAAGGAATATGGGTGCGGTAAAAATCGAACAGGAATATTGAAGCGTCATACTAATATTAATAGACAGCCAATGCTTAGACATGACAGAGAAGAAAACAGCACTGAGTAGAACACCTGAAAGCAGGTTTATTAGCTGAGTAAAAACCTCCCAACATTGAAAGCGAAAAAAAAAAGGAATGTGCTAATAAACGTTCTTTCTATCGAGTGTCGCTTTGTCAACACGTAACCGAGGACCATGAACTCCTCTCAACACTAAATATTTTACTGTAGTGCTGCCAAGATCTTTAACATCCACATCTGACAACTGATAGAGCGTCGGAAAAGGAAAATACAGGTCAAGAATCGTCAGGGCACGGCTCTAAAAAAGGCGCTACCTGGTGAAATCGTAGGTCAGCGCCACCATTCGCGAAACTTTCAGAGCGCCATTACAAGACTGATATTTTTTTCGCATTTTCGAGATTGTTCCTCGTTGTTTTTATCTGTCTGCATTGAACCAAAGTCCGGTTGAAGCATAAGACGCGTCTCTTATTTGGTAGGCAAAGTTCACATAAAAAAAAAACACACACACACAGACGCCAGACCTGCGCGGAACGCGCAGCAAAGTCACAGCGAAAGCTGGAAGAGTGGCGTTTCGGAGCCTTTTTAAACACTACTTGGGTAACTGCTACAAGCATACTTCCAAGGGTACCCACAAGGCCATAAATCGTAATTTTCGTGCAGGCATTCACTATGTCATCCTTCGTCATTCTTCGGTGAAGCGTGATACCCGCTACACACTTGCAAGGAATTGTGTGCATTTTTTTTTATTCTGTGGCTGACGACGATGAAGAAGCGCTATTGTAATAAGGTTGTACCATTCGATGACCCACTCGGTATCCCGCACTGTGTGACGACTCGCAGTTCCTTTGCTGTTATAGACGCGTTATTACACACATTAATGCGATTTCTGTCCCGACAGTGAAGCCTGCCTATAAGATCAGTCTGCCACGGAGTTCCAAGCACCGGCGTATACCTCAGTGGTAGAATATTGGTCTGGCACGCAGCGCACCTGTGTTCCATCGTGTACTTGGTGTTCTTTATTTGCTAAGTCTTTTTTTTCTCGTTTTGCGCGCTATAGTGGTTACGGACACCGGCGGCGGCGGCGGACAACTACGGTGCACGCGACGACCCGTGTTGTGATCTCATAACAGCTTTTCCTGTAAAATTTGAAAGCTATACAGATGACCTTGGATGCATGGGGAGGTTAACACATCATATCGTCGAAAGAGAACGATTCACTGTCTTAATCCTTTATTGAGATGGGGCTCGAAGTTAACATTACCCTGTGCTAGAAGATTCTCCACGAAATATAAAGGCACATCTGACCACCTATGATATTCTACGTGAGGTACCGACGTTCGTTGGGTCAGTATCCTCTGCCGTCTTTGTGGGTGTGTGCATTCCCAATCATGTGCATTCATAGTGTGTATAGTGGTCCGCCACAGTGGTCCCTTTGAGCTGCTCCTGTCTATAAGTGTGTAAAAGCATTTGCTAGGAAACGGCATGCGGACGAGTACAAAGGGCACGAAAAATGGAAGAATATTTGAATCGGCAGCGCTGTTCCCCCACGCTGTTCTGTGCATTCTACTACACAGCCACGCCATGGCAGTGCTGTGTGGTACCGAGCGTCCCATTTAGCCTTTGTTTTAACGAATCCCTCGTCAATATCTTCAGCACTATTATAGCTTGATGATGTTCGAGAGTACGCGTGGAATGATCTTCGCATAAAAGCACCAAAATGCAAGACCAACTCGGGACCATTAGTCGGAGAAGCTACTCAGTGCAAGAACAACTGCAGGCTTAAAGCACTTTAGCGAAAGCACAAAGCGGCCAGGCGCCGAAGAAAAGCACGTGAGAGAGAAAAAAATGCAATGCTGGAGAAGCGCTGGGAACCACGATGCGACAGCTGCGCGTGAATCGTGAAAACAGCACGATTAACAGGAAACGAGAAACGCGGCCGACTTACGAGGGGTTTGCTGTCGCCGTCGAACACTTCCCTGACAAACATGGCGCCCAGGGCGAAGCCGATGACGTTGTTGGTGTCGGTGACGCAGTAGCGCCACGTGGTGTCCGATCCGTCCGAGCCCATCAAAGCTTTCCGCAGGACCTTGGACGCCTCGCGGAAGGGCTCGGATAGGTACGACACCATCGAGTGCACCAGGCTCCAACCCAGGTAGTTGCACAGCGTGCTGCGCAGTCGAGAGCATACCCGCAAAATACGGCTCTGGTGGGAGTGCCCGAAGTTCGCGTAATGTCATGGCGTATATATGTGCGAGATGATGGTGGATGCGCAGGCTCTCCCGAATGAGGAATGCGAGGAATGAGCCTGCTCAGACGTGAGAAATGTGAAGACACGCACTCAGTAGAGTTTCTCGCGGCAGAAAGTATCATAAGTGTCGGTCTAGCATGTGACAGCGACGATGTTTAACCTTATTAGTGAAGACAGCCAGCCAATGGCAAGCAAGACATAGAAGCTAAAGAATTCGTCGCTCTGCTGCGAACATATTTTAACATTCGCTTGCTCTTCTACAATCATATGCAGCATTGTATTTCTTAACAACTGTACACGCTTACACACAGATGCATGCTAGTATGCCCTGTTTCATTTTTTTTTCATCTGGCATAGTAAAATTTAGTGAAGCTTACGCCATGTGACGCAAGGGTGGGTCACAGAAGAGCTGGTAGACACGTTTCAGCTTCGCTTGTTAACCATCTGTACCATCTGTTAAGCATCTGAACCATCTGCTAACTATCTGTAGCGCATGCCCGTTCATGATGATGATCATTGTAATCTATGACACGCGGCTGACGTTGACCATAACAGCTTTGCTGTAGAAGACATCACGGGATGTGCCGAGAGACAGAACCATTTCTTTAGTGAAGAATGGAGGAACTCTTTTAACTATGTGGGGCACATCCTAATTTGCAGCGTGATGGTGTGGATTCACAATAATGTGCCTGATATACAGCATTACTATGGTGCTACAGCGAACAAACTTAGAGAGAGAGGTGTAGCAACTCACGATATGATGTCATAGTGCGAGAAAAAAAGTTCTGCCATCAAGAAATAACGTGAGAAACCCGATTTTGCAAGACATCGCGACAACTTCGATGGCACACTCGTCTGTGTGTCATCGACGTGCAAATATAACGTTTACGCTGCAAACTTACGACAATGTGTCATCAACTATAGCCCAATCAGCAACTCTACACAACTATACACTCTAAGCCGAAAAAGACTAAAGTGGGGTATGCCATTGGTCCTTTAGGGGTTTAAATGCGCTGCCACAGATTTTGAACCAATTTTGGACTAACTGCGGGAGTAACTGCAGGGGCTCAACTGTTACCCCAAGCACTTACTCCACTTGGTTTAAATGTTGACCCCAGTAGAATGCTCCAGTGGGACTAACAGTTGAACCATCTGGACCAATGGCAAAAAAAAATGGCGACACTGCATTTGTGCAGTATATTTTATGTTTATTCCAATTTAATCAGCACTGAAGATCATAGTATGTTATTCATGCAACACACACACACACACACACACACACATACATACGCACTATTATTTCAAAGTAAAACACCGTAAACACTGACTGCCCGCGCTGTACTGTATACAGAGAACAGACTCTCGGGTATATATAGCACAGTATTTTGACCTCCCATCTAGTGCCAGTGGGCGACTTTTACTCGGCTTAAGAAAATAATAAATATTGACACCGTAACGCGAAAATTTACATGGGCTTATTCGTAGCACCGATGTGCATCGATCTTTTAATATGGATCCATCTAATCTTCAACATGCCTCCAGCCCGAGAATACGAATTATCAGCTGGTATTCGATCATGTCGGCCGAACCAGCGTTTTCAGTGCTCGCGCACGAGTCCGCAAACACAAACATAGCAGCGGCGCTTGTGCGGGAAAGCCGGCGAAGCAGCCGAAGGCGCCCCGCCGATGCCATACCGTGTCGGCCTGCCGACGGCGTCGCTAGGCTTACGACGAGTACGGCTAAACGACCGCCGGCGATCGCAACATGCGGCTCGCGTGGAATTTTCGTCGTCGTTATTTTATAGTCACAAATGAACAATAGGTAAGTGCCCCATGTTCGCTGTGTCTTACCGAGTGATGTAGATATCTGCATATTTACAGCGACGAGACCGTTCGCAGGCACGGTTCTTTCATCGTGCTGGTAAGGCACAACCTGTGTACCGCTGGCCGCACGATTAGTCGTATCCGCGATCGCCTACACGTTGCATTTTTGATAACGATTGTCGCATGGATAAAAAGACATAAGTTTGTCTGAGCTACTATTTTTGTGAACTTGTACGCGACGTTTCCTTCGCTTGTGCCGGCAATGCACTCACACCGGCAGCCCGCTTGATACCGATGACGTACGAAGCCTACTTTTCCTATATATCGCTTTGAACTTGTGGTCACTGTGTGGGTACACGACCGCTGATGAACAGCTTACCTTTATTAGCATTGTCAGTGTTCACCGTAGTTCGAACTTATTCAGCACATTGAAGCGAGTTCTCCGCATTGCCCGTGTTCGGCGATTTTCACTTGGTTTCGGCCCGCCCGTGCCGGCATGGTGAAAACGCGAGGGCGCTTGTTGTGTGCACTGACTGCGTGTTGTACTACTTGCCTCTCATAACATCTTCTATTCGTTTCATAGTGCTTCGCTTTCACAGTGGCGTATAGCCGATATAACCTGTTTTCATGATCGCCGACCACGCCGAGCATTGCAGTGCAGCATCGTCAGGAGGTGATCGCGGCGCAGTTGCCCTCCCCGTTGGTCCCTTCATTGCCGGGCGTTTGCGCAAGACACGCATTGTCACACATTTAGTCCCTGTTGGACGAACCATTCGTCCATTGGTTTAACGACTGCAGTTAGTCCAACTTTGCCGAATTTCGGCTTAGAGTGTATGTTATTAACTAAGCGAATCGAAGTGAAGTTAAGACAGCGAGGCGCTTACATTTTGCCCTTTGTGGTGTTCATGTACTCCTGGACGAGCTGAGTCATGTTTCCCAAGTATTCCGGCGCATAGACCACCACGTCCTGCGTAGGTGGTATGGTGCGGTTGATCTGTGAGAAAGCGGTGCTGAAGTACTCTGTCCAGTTGAGTAGAGTGCCCGCGCCTGCAGGTCGGCCACCGTCATCTTGTGATAGAGGCGCTCATCGTCGCGACGCTCCTCGGCTGGAACTGTTATCTGCGATCGGCATCAGATAAGCATCAACCGAACGCGCTCACAAGACGCGGTAATGATAGGTGTTAAGTAGACTCTAATTGGAACAGTCCCTCTTATTGCCAGCAGTGATAATGTGAAGAGTGGTTTGCCAATATACGCGGGAACCAGCACCAAGAGTTCACATTTCAAGTGAAGGAAGGTTAGAAGAGTTGTAGGCAGCTTTAACCGTGTCTTAATGACGTACTCTTTATCGTTACAGGTTATAAACACGTGCTGGCACAGCTTCCTGCAGTAGCGTCGCGTGACTGGCGTCTAACGTGTGTATGCAAGATGAACGTCACGTTCACGTGTACAAGCAGCTTTAAGTACGTACAAAGGTTCAAAATGCTGGCATCATTTTGGCAGCGTGGTACACCTAACTGAGGAACATATTGAACCAGACGCTGAAAACTTTTTCGAAGAGTGGCTGCCTGCCTGCATCGATTCACAATTACATCTACTTGTAAACGTGCATTTTGGTGAACACAAGAAATCTGTATTTATATTCGCTTTGTTCTCTTTTTTATGTATTGTTGCGCAGATACCTCTAAACATTTATTGTTACCCAGAAGCAAGGAAGACAAGGTGCATTGACCAGAGATGCACAGTAATTAGATTTGATTGTTCAATGAACGTGCGAGAAAATGACAGTCAAACTTGTATTTTAGGTATTCAGTATCAGTTAATATATATCTGTTAATAATTTAGCCCTGGTAGTAGGCCTTCGTCCCCCCCCCCTTTTTTTTCGCCCAAAACTGAAATAAACACGCAAACTTCCATTTTTTTTCTGTGTTGCCTCGAAATAATACTTGGGTGAGCCTTGCTTACGTTAGCCAATCGCTTTTCGAAGTCGATGATATCCTGCATTTGTGCCTTCACGTCGGGTTCTTTCCCCCCGAGCAGGACGCCCACAGATGTCATGTACGTGAGGTAGGCATTCAGAACCTGCGTGAGATGCAAGAGAAACAGGCGTGTACAAGTAGCAAGAAACGTTTAAACACACATCGTATCCGGGAATTACCTCGGCTGCTCGACACAATGCCCCCTTGGTCTCTTCAATAAATAAGTTTTTGCTGAAACGCCACCATTGAGGTTCATATGTGTGTTCCACTTTACTTATAAAGCCGTGAAATTTACTCTGGCAACAAATAAGTGATTTAGATCAATATCAACGCTACTTATTGGCACATGAAACTGATCGGTAAATGAAAGTAGTCTGTGATCCAACGTAGCTTTAATAAAATGAAAGCGCCGTATCATAGTCGATCGGTTCTGCGGAAATTGTCTTCGACACACTTGTTCTAGCAAGTGCGTTAATTGAAACCACGTTATCGTTTGGAAGTGGCAATGATCGAACTGAGAATCTTATTGGTGTCAATATCGCTTCGATCCTCCGTCCTCCCTATCATCCGTTGTAAGGTATAACGAAACATCGCTGTGTTGAAAAACACTATCGTTTCACTGTTACAAAAGTCGAGAGTTACTGCATATGCTACGCTAAGGTAGCAGAGTTGCGCGTGTGTTTTTCACAATGCAGCTAGCAACCGTGAATTGCGGAGAAGGTTTATGCTCAGGTGAATTTCCGTATTTGATAGATTGATATGTGGGGTTTAACGTGCCAAAACCACCATATGATTATGAGAGACGCCGTAGTAGGGGGCTCTGGAAGTTTAGACCACCTGGGGTTCTTTAACGTGCACACAAACCTGAGCATGCGGACTTACAGCATTTTCGCCTCCATCGAAAACGCAGTCGCAGCAGCCGGGATTCGATCCCGCTACCGGCGGGTCAGCAGCCGAGTACTTTAGCCACTATAACCACCGCGGCGGGGCAAATTTTCCGCATGTGCAGACGCCGATACTGCTGTGAACTGGATCGACACTAGTTGTTCCCAGTAATGTTTATCACTGGTCGGCCACACGCTAGGTTTGTCGGCTGCAGAGACGGGTGCGGTTTCGGCGCGTAGATGTTGCGGATAGCCGGACTAGCTAGCCTAGGTCCGTCTAGGCAGCAGAATATATTATGTTATCTGAAGAGGGGAGACGTTAGAGGAGTATGGAAGCTTGAATAAATAGAGCTCCTTGGATGTCACTGCAGCCAACTGTTCGACATGCGCTTTCGTCTTCTGCAAGGACGCAACGTTCTTCCAAGACAGGCAGCCCTGAAGATGACAAAACTACGCGTCCACACGTTGAATACAGAGACACCCCGTGTTTCTACCTAAAGGTAGCATATACGTTAACTCTAATAACGCTTAAAAGATAGCGCTCCCTGGAAGCGTCGATGAGACACAACATACCTTGTCGTCTTTGGACTTGTTGAGGTAGTAGTCCCTGGAGGGCAGTATGAGACCCCCCTGGTCGACCTGGATGACGTGCCTGGACGAGTTTCGGTCGTCCTCGCCCACGGCCCACGAGAAGAGGCCCGAGCGCGAGTACACGTTGTGGATGATCTGCAGAGCCGGCTGCAGCTGCCACGAGTCCAACGAGTAGTTGCCCGTCACGTTCCAGCCGCCCACCTGCGAAGGAATCCCAATGGTCACGTGTAGGAGAAAACGCGATGACGAAATGGGAGGAAAAGGAACGAAGTTTTGCGGTCCGGACCGTAGGTCGGCGCATTCACTCGGACTCATTCAGACCCAGGCCTAGCCATGAATCTGAGTGAGTCCAGTTGAAGAAAATCTTTGTGAGTGTGAGTCCGAGTGAGTCCGGTTGAAGAAAATCCGAGTGAGTTGTGGCCAAGAAAATGTTGGTCAGTCTGAGTCCCTGTGAGCCCATAGTGCAATATATATTTATCGAGTGAGTCTGAGGGACTTCCGCTTTCTCTTGCCGGCCTATGGTTGAGACGCACACTGCCACACTTCGATATGTTTTGTTGTTGTTGTTGTTGTTGTTGACTTGACCCTCATTTGGACACCCTCAACGACCGAGAGAGGATACGTGTTGCCAGAACGTTCACACTGAGCTGTTTTTTTTTTTCTTTCTTCTTCCTCGCAAACTCATTCTTTATTCTTTGCAACGTTTTGTATAAAACAGGACATAAGCTTGTATTTATTATTTGTTATTGCCACGGTCCGAAGAGATGTTGGCGCACATGTACTCCTTAGAGGCATCTGACATAGGGGACGTAGGAAGCAAACTTATAAGCGAATCAACTGCGCAGCACCCACCACTACGCGTAACAGTCACGGCATAACATAACAGTCGAAATGGCATATTCAGTAATTACATATATGTGTACACGTGGCGATCCTAAGCAAATTGAAGAGCAACCATTGCATAGCACGACCAAGACAAAAATAGTCGACATGCAGTGTTGCTGGTCGAGCAACTCCATTTCATTTCAATTCCGTTGCGGGGAATTAGAACTTGCTGCAAATCCATTGCTTTCAATTCCCCACAACATAAAAAAAGCCCATTCTCAACGTAACACAGCTTTTGGCGCCAAATTCTCACTCCTGGAATGGCCGGGCAGTTCAATTATATTCCTGTACTTCCTCAAGGTAGGAAAGGCATCTTGACAAGTTGATGTCATCAGATGTGTTAAGGACTTAAGGTGACAGGCGAACGCTCATGCAAAATGATACACGACATGAAGGAAACAAGGATGATTTGAAGAAAGGAAAGAAGGGAGCGCTCCTTTTTCATTGCTCGGCACAATATTGATGAGAGCTAGCCTACAATACTACCGAGTAAAGCATAGGCGATGTTCTTTTTTTTTATAATAATAGCCGTATAAATGTGAAGAACGTAAAGTGAATGAAATGATAGCTTGCCGCTGGCTGGTACCTAACCTACAACCTTGAAATTAATGACAGAGGCCATATAACATTACACTGAAGTATGTTTTGAACTAAACTTTCGGTCACATCATAGCGTTTCACGGACACATATATGTGCGCGTATACCATGCAAGGTGTACCATGTCTGCATCATTTACGTTCGCATGAGCTTCACGTTTGGCGTTTGCAACGTATGTTAGAGCACACGGGGAATGAGCTGCAAGTAATATTGCACTTGCCATGCGATTGGCCATGTAGAAGCGGCCATGTTCTTTGCGTATCATCTGCGCAGCGCCTTAGAGCAACTGTAAGGTGAAAACTTTCATAACGTGGTCATCCCCGTCCGGAGGCGGAGCCGCTTACGCCTTTTGAAAAGCGCGCGCTCAACGCTCAGATTGTTTGCCCTCGTTTCCTCGACGCGGCGCCACCGCGCTGTCGCGCCTTACGATTTGATTGAACGTTCAACTTTGTGTTTCTTTCACCAGTCGCTGGGTGGCAGCACTAGCTACACACCTCATCAACAACCTTCTGCTTACCATCTCAGACTTTTCTTTCACATGCGTTCGCATACGGTAGGCTTAAAAGCACTGGCGTAATGCCAGAACGTGCCTGCGACGTCTCGTAAAGAGGGAAAGAGAGGGGGATATAGAGGGGAACGTGCGGGTGCTGAAAAAAGAGCACGCAAAAAGGGCACTGCTGCTTCACGTCTGTTGCCCTTTCTCTCGAAATATTTGCGGCTCGGCTGTGCCGCCAGAAATCGAAGTGGGTTCTTTTTTTTTTTTTTTTTTTGCGTCAGCCGCTGATAGATTTAACGTCGGCTCGCCGTAGAACTGTTCAACAAATGATCGGCCGTGAACGGGCACCGAAAACGAATGGGGAAAAGCGAAATGTCACACTTATTTCACATACGCCGTCTAAAGTGATCTTATACTTAAAATAAAAAAAAAATCAACAAGAAACGTCCTATCGAAAAAAGGTGAAAAATCAAAACAGCAACAATTCCTCGCTGACTTTTTTGTTTTTTTTTTCGCCGTTGTTCTTCAAGAATTATGTCTGTTATTGTGTTCATGTGTGTCGAGTAAGTACCACCATGCAATGAAAGAGATAATATATGAAAGGGCTTAGAAAAGGTAGGCTTCCTATGTATTGAGAGGTCCCCACGAAATTATTATTGTTTTTCTTGGCTGATGTAGTGCAAGGAGGTTATACTAACCTCCTTGATGTGGTGCCTGTAGACACAGACAGACAGACAGACAGACAGACAGACAGACAGACAGACAGACAGACAGACAGACAGACAGACAGACAGACAGACAGACAGACAGACAGACAGACAGACAGACAGACAGACAGATAGATAGATAGATAGATAGATAGATAGATAGATAGATAGATAGATAGATAGATAGATAGATAGATAGATAGATAGATAGATAGATAGATAGATAGATAGATAGATAGATAGATTCGAGCATCTACTTGAACCGGTACGGTACTGCGCATGCGCAGTCATTATTTCTTTGAGCGAGACACTTGACTGGCGGTGATTACCACTATACTCGAGTTGCTGTAAAAAATGTGAAACCCAAAGATCAGCAATACTGTTCACTGAACATTTCTGCCTAATCATATATGTTTGCGCGGGTACCGTTAAGCTTTACGTGCCAAAGAAAACTGTCATCGTCTGCCGGAGTTTGCGTGTTGTTAACGTCGTTACGAAGGTTACCTTGTGAGAGAAATGTTTACAGACTTTCGTATTGGGTCACATTGCGATAAGCCATTCTATATTTCTTGCCTTCTCTCGTTAAGATCACTTATTGGGACGAAATTCTCAGATGCGTAATCAGACACGAAAAGTGGCCGCCTGTGACCTCGCCGTGAGCGCGGGTGAAGCAAAAGCCATCACGTGATGACGTAGCAGGCGTGACGTCATTGTCACGTAGAGTGGTTCACATTATGACGTCATCACATGACGTCGTCGTTTGGTAAATGAGGGCCGATCACGGAGACGACGCGAAACCATGTGAGATGCAGAAAACTTTTGTCGGGGGGGTAGGACGCGGCTGTAATTTAAAATCTAGGGTTTTACGCGCCAAAACCACGAAGGGGCATGCCGGATTGGATTGGATAAACTTTTATTTGGTCCTCCAAAACACAGATCACTGTGTTGCGGGCAGCTTCCACGTGGGGACTGAGATGCCAAGCTCCTCAGCCGCCTCGCGGGCTTGGTGGACAGCCCAGAGCTGATCTGCCAAGGACGAGCTGCGGATTGCCGCCTCCCATGTGGCAGAGGTGATGTTCGATAAATGAACGAATTTGGTGCACTGCCAGAGCATATGTTCTAATGAACCTATTTCCCACAATGTGGACAGAGATTACCTGGGTATAGGTCAGGGTACATGATGTGTAACATTTTCAAAGTAGGGTACACCCGCGTTTGCAAAAGCCTTAATGTAAGGGCTTTGGGCCGAGTTAGGTTTTTGTGAGGTGGAGGGAAAATCCTTCTAGACAGGTAGAAATGTTTAGTGAGCTCGTTATATGTTGTAAGAATTTCCCGGTTATACCCTTCACCGGTAGAACGCATCCCCGGGAAGGCGCGGTTGGAGAGTTCTTGCGCCGCCTCGTGTGCTGCTTCATTGAGATTGGGAGGGGAATCTTTGATTGATCCAAGGTGAGCTGGGAACCAACTCAGAAGATGATGCGTTGTGTTCGGTCGGCGGTGCGTATATAAATGCAGGCACCGGCGCTTCGTTGCGTGCCGCTTAGGCCGATCATCGGTAGATAAAATGCGTTGACTACAGTTTACTGTTAATATCTACGCTCTTCTCTACTGAATCGTTGCGCGACGCCTATGCAATCTTAACATTACCCGCGAGTAAAGCTCATTCTGCCCTTCATACGGATGCTCGCCCTGGGTGACTCTCTTCACGTTTTTGCACTGAATCACGCTTTTGCTGCGTTGTTTGTACGTGATTAGCTTATGTGTTCCGCCTGCTACGCACTGCTGTAGCGTGACTGAACTACTTATTTAGATCTTTGTCATCTACATGCAAAAAAAATATAGAACGAAAGATTGTAGAAAACCCGCATATCTGTGCGATTCGTTCAGTACCACCGTTCGCACCTTATACACATAGGAGTTTTTTTTCTTCTTTTATTCTATTCACCATATAATATGTAGGACAGTCGAGAAGTCTAGTCAGGAAAGCACCATATAATATGTGGGACAGTCGATAAGTCTAGTCAGGAAAGCTTAGGGGCTGACAGCGCTTGGCGCTACACTGCGTTTTCCACGAGTACGCACACGTTCTTGCACCAGTAAAAATCTTATATATAAGAGTTATTCTGCAGAAAACTTTCAACGATGTATTACCTGCATGACGGTGCTACAACAAAGGCCTGGTTAATGGGACAGGCTTGTTTTTTTTTCAGACAAAAATTACCGCTGCCTTCCGTCGGTCACTAACAATGGTACACCGCTGAAAACAATGCAAAAGAGATGAAATTTTCAGTGAACTTATGACATTATATATATATATATATATATATATATATATATATATATATATATATATATATATATATATATATATATATATATATATATATATATATATATATATTGTTACGGGAAAGATTTATTCACCGAGAGCTGGTCTTGCTAACGGCTTAAAGAGCGCACAGTCATGCAGGCCAACGGGGGAAGCTCTAGAGTCCAACCCACTACAACCACGTTA